GGGTTTGATCAGCAGTTTGTAAGAAAAAGATGTTTGGTAAAATTACTTGTTTAAATTAGCGATTAACATGTAAAATGACCTATAAGGACATTAGTGTATTTTTTTTTATTGTTATTGGTAATAAATTTATAATAATTATAACCATATAAAAATTATTAATTCAAATGAACAATACATTTGAAATTGAATAAAATAAGTGTGAGAGTATGCCACCAAATTAAAAAAAAAGAAAAAAGATGTAACTGTATGATATTAAATTTAAGAATTAAGAATTAATAAAGTCAGTAGCACTTAAAAAAAATTTAAGAATTAAATAAAGGGTAAAACATAGCTATTAAATTTAATTATAGGAATGCAAAGTTGCATTTTAGATGAATGGAATGAAGCATACATCAAGTCAGCGGCAAATTATGTTGTGCAACCGTGTGCATGATGCACACTGTTCTATGTTCATAATTACTAAGCTATATGTTCATAATTATAAAGTTATATATTCATAATTTTTAAACTTCATATTCATAATTATTGAACTCTATATTCAGAATTACAGAACTCTATGTTCATAAGTTTCGTCTTTTCGATGTTCATATTCCCAATTGTTGAACTCTGTATTAAAAAATCACAGAACTATATGTCCATAATTTGATAACTATACATTTTAGAAATTATGAATCTACAGTATAGAAATTATGAATCTACAATACAGATATTATGAATCTGCAATATAGAAATTATGAATCTATTGTATAGAAATTATGAATCTACTGTATAGAAATTATGAATTTATGGTTTAGAAATTATGAATCTACAGTATAGATTTTATGAATCGACAGTATAGAAATTATGAATCTATAGTATAGAAATTATGAATCTATAGTATAGAAATTATGAATTGGAACCGTTTGCAGTTGTGCACCGTGCATGGTGCACACGGTTGCACAGCATAATGTTCCCAAGTCCGCAGCGTATATGAAAAAAAAAAAAAAGAGAGAGAAACAAGGGCAAAATTGAAATTTAGAACATAAAGGAGAAAAGCTAATGCTAAATGCGGCTCCCAGCAGTGTGTCAATTTTGACGGATTTGACAGCGATTCACTAAGTGAAAAAGCCATTAACCAAACTTCTTCTTTAGTGGTTTGACAAATTCTTTACCAGACCGCTAAAGATGGTCAAATCCGCTAAAAAAATGGCGGATCAGCTAATAACCAAACATGGCCATAGTGTCCTTAAATTCCATTTAAGCGTATAAGAACAAGCCTAAGAGTGGTGGTAGTGGTGGTGGTGGTGGTAGTGGTGGTGGTGATAGTGGTAGTGGTGGTAGTAGTGGTAATAGTAATTCTTGTTATGCGCCCCGTTAGCGTGTGCAGTACACGTGCTCGCCACCTAAGTGATATATATATATATATATATATATATATATATATATATATATATATATATATATATATATATATATATATATATAAAAGAACAATCACATTTATGGTTTTTGGAGAGATTTTTCAGAAGAAAAAACTTGGGTAAAGTTTTTGAACGAATGGAGGGACGGTTTTTACAAATATTTTTCTCTTGCAAGGTTGGTTTTTACAAATATTTTTCTCTTGCAAGGTTGGTTTTTAATGGGGCCCACTAGTAATTCTTGTTACGCGTCTAGTTAGCCCGTGCAATTTATATTTGCAGGAATGTGTTTTTTTTTTCTCTATCATCTTATCTCTCTCTTCCACCTAAGAGAGACCACATTTGTGATTTTGGAGAGGTTTTTTCAAAAGAAAAAACTGGGGTAATGTTCTTTGAACAAATTGGGGGGGGGGGGGGCGGGGGGGGGGGGGGTATTTTTCTCTTGCAAGGTTGGTTTTTAATAGAGTCCACTAATTGAAAAGAATTTGGAAGAAAACCGATAGCATGTCCGTGTTTTGCGCACCTATTATGTCTAGCTGAACGCACTAGATGGGTGCGTGAACGACCTTATTTTTTATTTTTAACTTTTTCGTGGACTTTTTTTTTCCTCTTCCCTCTACAATCTCTTTTCTAAATGGCTATGACAAAAATCAACTCGAAAACTTTTCTAATGAGGTTGCTCTTATCAAGTGTTGTGATTTTTTGTAGACCAACTAGGAGAGATGAGAGAGAGAAAAGGAAAAAAAAATTTGACAAAGACACAAAAAAAAAAGGAGAGGAATCATCGACATGTTGGGCGTGATAGTACACCAAACACAAAGATTGTGCATGATTTTCTTCATTTGGAGGGGGAGGGGGATGGGGGGGGGGGGGGTGGAGAAAAAAAAAGAATAGGAAAAGTAAAATAATAAGGTACGCAATGATAGGTTGTGAAATAACAAGGTCTGGACGTTGGGTATGATTCTGAGGCAAGTTGATGTTTTTGTTGCAACATGGAAGCAGACATATATCACTTCTTCTTCCCTGGCAGCAACTCCAGCTCATGCAAACACCTGAACACCTCCCCCTCCCAGCAAGCTTAAATGTAACGTGGATGCTGCAGGTTTTGGAAGAGGGCTTAGGGTACGGTGCAATTATCCGAGATCATGAAGGTGTATTTGTGGCGGCATGTAGTGGTCTTTTACAGTGTTTTCGAGACCCATATGTGGCTGACGGTAAAGGAAGCTCTGTCTTGGCTCAAGAATCGCAATCTTACAAATATTATTGTTGAGTCTCTTCGTCTGTGGATTTTTCTTATGTTGGTTTACTTATTAAGCAATGTAGATTGATTGCTAGGGGCATTGGGGACGTTGTTGTCCACCATGTCAAAAGGTCAGCGAATTACGCAACTCATGTTCTTGCACCAGCGGCTGTTTCTTCACCTGTCCTTGGGATCCCGCTTGTATTGCGAGCTTGGTTTGATTAATGAAGTTATTTGGTTTTCAAAAAATAATAGTAATAGTAATAGTAATTCTTGTTACGCGCCCAAAGTGCAGTACATGTGTGTGCGGCAGGTGCGCCTCATCCCCACCTAAGGGCTCATTTGGTTCGCAGAAAATATTTTAAGGGAAGTGGAATTAGAATTCCATGGAAAAACAATTACTAGGAAGATGAATTTCATTGTTTGGTTGATGGAAAAAGAATTACTGGGAATACTAATTCTATTGTTTGGTTAGATTTGGAATTGTAAGGAATAATGAGTATAAAGACCTATATGCCCCTACAAATTAATAAAAGTAATATAATTAAAAAAGAAAGTAAGGGTAAAATAGGCAATCTATTCACTTTTTACTCCCATCTTCCATGAAAAATCAAGGATTTTGTTTTCCTCAAATTTGATGAATTCATTTTCCAATGGAAAATGAATTTCATAAACCAAACACTAGAAACCAATGTTTTCCTTTCCATGAACCAAACATCCCCTAAGTGAATAGTTTTTACTGTGGGTCCTACAAAAAAAAAAACTTATATTTGCAATAATACATTTACTTTTCTCTATCCACATTGTGGCTTTTAGAAAGGTTTTTGAACAAATGGGGAGGGATTTTTTATAGGTATTTTCTCTTGTAAGGTTGGTTTTTAATAGGGCCCACTAATTGAAAAGAATTTGGGAGAAAACTGATAGCAGGTGTGTGTTCTGCGCACCTGCTGCGCCTAGCCGATGGGTGCGTGAATGACCACTGTATTTTTTATTTTTTATTTTTAACTTTTCAGTATCAGTTTTTTTTCTTCCCTCCACCTTCTCTTTCCTAAATGACTATGACAAAAATCAATCCAAAAACTTTTGTAATGAGGGCAACTCAAGTGTGGTGGGTTTTTGGAAGACCAACTAGGAGGGAGGAGAGATAGAAAAAGAAAAGAAAAAAAAAAAAAAGAGGACCTGACATACTGGGCACGACAGTGCACAAAACACACAAATTGTGCATGATTTCCTTCATTTATGGCTCACAAAAAACTTTGATTTGCAAGAATAAAAATTCCCTAAAAACCCCACCCCCATCTTTGCAAAAATCATACCCTAATTTTTTTTATTCTGCAAAAAAATTCCTTAAAATCCACTGATGTGGATGCCCTAAGTTTTAATGTAAAAAAATCAGTGTTGCAAAAATCGAGCCTAGGCACCGATTAATCGGCGCCTAGGCGCTAGGCGGTCAGCTACCTAGACGCCTTAGGCGCCCGCCTAGGCGCCGATTAATCGCTCTAGGCGGTCTCCAGGCGCCTAGCAATTTTTTCAACCTTGAAAAAAACACCCCAAAAATGCACTCTTGAGATTTCTCTAACTAATGGATCCCAAAATTTCTTCCTTCACCACCCGCACACGTCTGCCACACACCCACCATGCCCCCAATTTCGCCTTACCTCCACTCAATCGTACACAAGCACCGCCACAACTTACCTTTTGTGCGGCAGCTTCCCCATGTGTGATGTTGTGGAAAGATCTAGTCCATTAGATAACTTCATATCAATAACTGAAAATCAAGATATGTTTGATGGTGCTTCGAGTCCCCAGCACTTAGTGGATCACAGACCACTACTAAGTGCATCTCTGACAACTTTTTATGGACAACTTAATGCTCCATCTATATATATGGACAACTTTTTATAAGAACCACGCATCTTCCCCTTAAAAAATTGTGGACAAATTCTAATATCAATCTAGTAAATCTAATCGTTGAAAATAAAGAAAAAAGAAAAAAAAAAGAATGGTGTCACTTAAAGTTTGTAATATTTACAAAACTAATCGCACCATCTTAGTGAAACAGTTCAGATTTATTTCGAGTTTTCATCCGAAGAGTGATCCTCAGTAAATGAATGCAGATTGGATAATACCAAATTTTGAAAATTCAAATTCGCTTATAATCGATTAGTGGCAGATTTTCACTAAGTAAATCGTCATCTCATTAAATTGGATTAAATTTAGATTTAGATTTGACGGATTGGAGCGAATTTGGCGGATCTTGCGTATAAGTAACTGTTTGTTTAATGTGAAGCATAATTTACGCGTAAAGGCGTTTTTAACCGATGAGGCGTTAAAACGACATAAAGATTCTTTTTTTGAAACAGTGACTATCGCTTCGGCAGTTGTCATTTTTTGGTTTTGGGGTTCAGACTTCAATGAACACACGCTCGAGCAGTAGAATTATCTTCAAGAAAACGCCTGACGGTTAATCCGATTCTCGGTTCTCTATGCTGTCAGAAATCTGCGATTTTTGGTTGTAATTGTAATAAACAAGAAGAAATCGGGGGGGATGGCTTCTCTCGTCCCATTTCAAGACCTCGATCTCCAGCTTGGCCCGTCGACGTTCACCGGCGGTAACTGTTCCAGCTCCGGTGCCGGTTCATCTGGTATGATAGTTCCAAAGATCGAACCGAAGCTGGAACCGCTGGACGAATTTGCACAAGCGGATCTCCAAACCCCTGCTTCTTTTTCAAACCCTAGTCCCGCGTTCAATTCGGGTTTCAGTCTCGCTCCGCCTCGGCAACAATCTGATGCTGGATATGGCTCGGGGTTCTCTGGTGATGACAATGTTTACTCGGAATTCCATCGGATTTCGGAGATGTTTCGCACCGCATTCGCGAAGAGGATGCAGCGGTATGGCGATGTGGAGGTCGTGGAAGACCCGGATTCGAGGGCTATCGTGCCTGTGAACAACGACGGGCAGCTTTCGACTGTGGTAATTGCGAGGAGGAAGTATCAGCAGCGCTCGTCGGAGCTGGTGAGAGTCACCGATCTTAGCCCCGAGGATCAGAGGTATTTCCGGGATGTTGTTCGCAGGACCCGGATGCATTACGATTCTATTCGGGTTCTCGCGCCGTTGGAGGATGAGAGGAACCAGCAATATGGGCATTTTAAAAAGACCAGAGGGGACTTGAAGGCCGCACAGCTGATGAGGGAGAGGGGACTCTGGCTGAACCGTGATAAGCGTATTGTTGGCTCCATTCCTGGGGTGTACGTTGGGGACTTGTTCTTTTTCCGAATGGAATTGTGTGTGGTTGGATTGCACGGGCAGGTTCAGGCTGGAATTGACTTTGTTTCTGCCAGCCATAGCTCTAACGGGGAGCCTATTGCTACCAGTATTATAGTATCTGGAGGATACGAGGATGATATGGATTCAGGGGATGTGATAGTCTATACTGGGCACGGTGGGCAGGACAAGAACTCGCGCCAATGTAATAGCCAGAAGCTTGAAGGTGGGAATTTGGCATTGGAGAGGAGCATGTATTATGGAATTGAGGTAAGGGTAATCCGTGGCTTTAAATATGAAGGTAGTGCTAGTGGGAAAGTCTACGTTTATGATGGCTTATATAGAATTGTAGACTGTTGGGCTGATGTAGGCAAGTCTGGTTTTGGAGTGTTTAAGTATAAACTCGTAAGGATTGAGGATCAACCAGAAATGGGAAGTGCTGTTCTAAAATTTGCAGAGACCCTCAGGACCCGGCCATTGGAGGCCAGACCGACAGGATATGTCAGTCTTGATATATCAAGGAAGAAAGAGAATGTGCCAGTGTTTTTATATAATGACATAGATACAGACCAAGAACCTGTTTATTATGATTATTTGGTGAAGACTATATTTCCGCCACATGTCTTCCAGTATATGGGAGCTTCTGCTGGCTGTGATTGTGTCAATGGATGTTTTGGCAATTGTTTCTGTTCAATTAGAAATGGTGGTGAATTTGCCTACGACCATAATGGTATCCTGTTGAGGGGAAAACCACTGGTTCTTGAATGTGGCCCACATTGTCGTTGTCCTGCGACTTGTCGGAACCGAGTGAGTCAAAAAGGTGTGAGGAAAAGATTTGAAGTGTTCCGGTCAAGGGAGACAGGTTGGGGAGTTAGGTCATTGGACCTGATTCAAGCTGGTTCTTTTATTTGTGAATATGCAGGTATCGTCCTCACAAAGGAGCAAGAAGAAATTTTCAAAATGAATGGTGATAGCTTAATTTATCCTAGTCGTTTTTCAGAGAGGTGGGCAGAATGGGGAGATTTGTCTCAAATATATCCGGACTATGTACGCCCATCATATCCTTCAATTCCTCCTTTGGATTTTGCAATGGATGTATCCCGAATGCGGAATTTAGCCTGTTACATGAGCCATAGTTCTAGTCCCAATGTTCTTGTGCAGCTTGTGCTCTATGATCACAATTATGCCTGTTTTCCTCGCCTTATGCTCTTTGCCATGGAGAATATACCTCCCTTACAGGAACTTAGCATCGACTATGGGGTAGCTGATGACATGGGGAAGCTTGCCATCTGTAACTGATTAAATTGGGAGTGGGTGCAGTTTTGAATGATTAGGAGCAGCTTTATTGGCTCATGATGTACTAAGGTATACTCCATATCAACTTAAACCATTCAACTATTTGTGTTTAGTTTTACACAACTGTATCAAATGATTCTTCGGATAAGAACATTGTTCATATGTACCATTTGACAAATTGTTGTTTTTATTACTTTTTCATAAAAACTAATATATGTGATGAGCGGCACTTGTCGGCTGTGTTGCAAAGTTGTAACTAGTGCTCTTTTAGGCATTTATACCCTGTACTTTTTTGTAGTGTTTCTCTCTCTCTCTCCCTATTGCAACCTTCTGAGCTTCTCCTCTCATTGCTGATTATTTTATCTTCTTTTTATTATTATTATTATTATTATTTTATTTATTTTATTTTATTTATTGTACATCTGAGGAGAATGTGGATTGAACTTAAGACCTTTTACATTAGATGCCACTGGACTACAAGTCTCTTGGCTCTTTCCTAATTTATTTGTATGTATTTTTAATCCATTCTTTTTCTTTCCCCCACCTTGTGGTATTCTGGTTAACGAGATTCATGACCTGCTAAGTATGTCATTTTGAAATGGACTAGAGGACACATAATGTTCTTAAAACACTATATAGTACCCCATGCTTTAATTGTTGCCGTTAATAACTTATAATGGAAATTTAAAGAGGACTATGTCAAATGGCCTTGTCACCATGGAAATTTGGTGTCATTTTTGTTCTGTGAAATGTGAAAAGTTACCAAGGAGATATAGAAAATCCTACGAAGAGCACGATTTAGATAACTAGATAAGGCAAAGGTTGGCTTTGAATGATAGGTTTTCTGATTTTGACATATTCTGAAGTAAGATCCTTTGGTTCTCAACATAAATGCATATGAAGTGGGAAACTGATTAAAAAAATGTATTGATATTTATGCTGAGTGTGATAGTGATTGTAGTCTAACCTTTTTGGTTATTGAATTTATGTTTTTATACTTTTGCATCATCATGTAAAAATTTTCCGCAATTATACAAATATGAAAGATGCTGCAGAAAAGGGCTAGAAGAGTTATAATGGTACATATACAACTTTGTTGCTTTTGCATTTAGAAGAGTTATTGAATTTATGTTTTTATACTTTTGCATCATGTAAAATTTTTCCGCAATTATACAAATATATGAAATATGCTGCAGAAAAGGGCTAGAAGAGTTATAATGGTAAAATACAACTTTGTTGCTTTTGTTTGTTTGAAAGAAATTTGAAGTATATACGGAGTAATTTGTATGCTATTTGCAGGTAATACTTGTATCACATTTCGATATGGGCAACTGTGATATGTAACTTACAGTATTTATTTATTTTTATAGCTAGTAGGCACGGGAAACACCCTCTAAAACAATATTGTTTGCCTAGGCTGGTGATGCATGGCAGCCATATAGAGCAGCACAATAGAAATATTGCACAGTGCAGGAGCTCCCTTAGATTGCAGGGTTGCGTAACATAAAGTTGCATGCTTGGTTAGAGCTTCAGAACTGTTATTAGGGGTGCCATTTAGATTGCAGGGCTATAGACAGATTTGATACTTGCTAAAACATTATATGATATGCTACCAGTAAAGATTATTTACAGTTTTAAAGGCCAAAATTCTTTAAAAACCATCTTTGGCCAAGGCTACGAGGCCGTGTCTACTTGTATCTTCCCTGAAATCATCAATATTTGGATATAAGATCGTTTTTTTTTTTTTTTTTTTTTTTTTTTGTTGCTATTGTTGACTGCAGTTGTGTGACTCGGTTTTCTTTGATTGTACAGAACATGCATTGTCGTAACGAAGGCTGTAAAGAGCGGCTTGTATGTGGTTCTTGCATCAGCTAGCAGTTACAGACATACGGAGAAGTTAAGCGGTTTACCCAAGTCCTGTTGTCGTTTTAGCTGAGGATTAAATTGCACATCTATACTATATTCTGTACAGATTGTATCAATCCTATCCTGTTAACTAAAGGAGTCCTCCACTCCAAACATCACTCTCTTTCATTTTCTTTTCTCTTTGTAAAAGCTGAAAAAAAAATATTTGTTAGTTTTAAGTTGTTGATGCCTGCAGCAAGAGTGTCATCTTGGCATGGGCTTTGAAAATGAGGACAAAGTTATACACATTTTGGCTGGAATATTGAGTGTTGTATCATATGCCAACTTGAGTTAAGGATTCAAATAAGATTCTGTGACTTATGGTACGAGATTAATAAGAATTTAGTCATCAAGGAAATATCTCCGACCTATTTAAGTCCAAGAATCAATCATTATATAAGGTGAACAACTGACATAGTCATCAAGACAGGAAGTATCTGCAACCTATTTAAGTCCAAGAATCAATCATTATACAAGGTGAACAATTGACATAAGGTTCATTTTTAATATACTGAAAGTTCATTTATAATAAATTGAATGTTCAGTATTAGAATGCTATTTTTTTTTTTTTTGGTATACTGAAGATTCGTTATTTGGTACTATCAAATGAACATTTATCTGTGAATCACATTACAATGTGAACCATAGTCCACAAGACCACAATATAATTTGCCTCCAAGAATATGTGAACCATAATCCACAAGACCACAAAATAATATGTTCAATCATATGGCACAAAGTTTCAATAAAAGGTTTTAGATAAGTAGAGGTTTCAACAATAGATTTGTTAATTCTTGATTTCATGCTATGCTATACATTATCAATCTTGAAATAAAAGAGTGAAATGAGCAGGCAGGCAACCCATTGCTCAGACAAATATTCAGTTAGATGGTGGTTCCATCCTTCCCAAGTTCCCGCTTTCTGGCCCGTTCCATCTTCCGCTTACGCCATTCTTCAAGAGCTGAATATTTCAATAAATCAATAAATTCCAGCACTAGATCAGAAATCTGTTAGGATGATGGTTAACTACATACACGATACACCCAATGTGTGACGGGGATTATGAAATTCATACTCGCTTGTGGGTGTGTTTGCAGTGTTCAGTAGGCATATAGAAGCTAGAAAGAAAAGCTTAACAGAAAACAAGCAGAGAAAGAAAATGCCCTTGTGTCATAATACCTTGGACTAGTCGTCCTATACAGGCTTAATATGTGAAACCGACATCTTTAGAGTTTAGACATATAGCACATCTACTAGAACTATTATCCATGTCGCAAAATCACATTGCAGGAGAAAACACATCGCCAAAATCCATCGCAGTATCTAGGCTATTCACCATAACACTGAGTATTTAAGCCGTGAGAAGAAACTAACGTTTATGAGCTTCCATTTCTTTCTGGGAAGTAATACTTGCATTTTTTTTAATGTAAGTTTCCATTTGAAATAGCTTATCCAGTATTCCATTTCAAACAAACAACTGAAGAATTCAAACTCATAACAATAAACAACTAGATGAAAGCAGATATATGATTCCAGATGGAAGTAAACAATACTACCATACTGTCAGTTTAGAATAGACATGAACTCTAAGGCAGTTTTATGTTTTTAATGAAATGAGGAATACACAGTGTTATCAATGGTGAATAGCCTAAAATCCACCATAGAAATATGGCGGGTGGTGTTATATATATAAGTCAAAAACCTCAGAAATTAATTTTTTTAAAAAGTAGAAAGATTAATGTCTTAACATAAGTAGATAACCATAAACTAAATAGATATTAAATGTCTATTCCTTTTCATCAACCCCAACATAATCATCTTCTTATTTGTCATCAAGTGAAGCATATCCCTCTTCTCCTTCAAATTCCTCAAAATTGAACAATGACTTTTCTTCTTCGAGTCCCTCATAATTCTCCTTGAGTTTCCAATTCTTCAACCACTTTCTCCTTCCCTCTTGAGGTTGAAGTTGCACCTTTCTTAGAAGTTTTGGTAGCTCTAACACCACTTGATGTCTCTTTTCTTTTTCCTATTGTACGCCTAGTATATGTTCTAGGCTCTCTAACCCAGAGCCAGATTTTGGGCTATGCAAGCTGAGCTATAGCATAGGGTTCCAAATTTTAGAGAGCCCAATATACCTAGCTAGTTAAGAAATTTTTTTTAAAAAATTGGCAATTAATCCTAAGATTAACTTATCAGTTTCTCTAATGAGCAATGTTGTTTCCCGTTGTTCTGTTCGATTCTTCATCTTCTTTGGCGATTGGCAAGAGGACTCTCGACTGAGAGGAGTTCAATCCGTCTTCTTCGTCTAGGAAGAGTTCTAGTCTGAGCCGTCCATGAAGAAAACTGGTTGCGCAGGCTGGTCCACATCTCCACCGTCTTCAAGTTACTTCTGGGTTCTGGCATTCTGCAAAACAGCAGAAGCGTTGCACTGCAGGCCTGTAGCTGTTGAAAAACGATCTGGGTTTTGGCATTCTGCAATTCCCCGTAGACCGTAGCAAACCAAGGTTGTTACAATCCTTTATTCCTTTTTCACTTTAAATTTTTAATTTTACATTCTGCATTATGTGTAATGTGTTTGCTCTTTGTGAATTGCCATTTTGTGTATGTGCTCTGCCATAATTGTCATTGTTGTTTGGTTTCAATTGTTGAATCAGTGAATTGCATATTATGGCTCCCGGCATTAGAAAACATGAATCTGGCTATGAAAAACGCAAAAAAACAAAATAAAAAATTGAAGAGTTACAACGATTACAAAGATGAGCATTAGATAAGTTTGTAATTAAAACACCACAAGTTTCTTTTGAAAATCCAAATGTTGGTGTTGATATTGAGAATGATAACAATGTGGATAATCATAATTCTAATGTTGAAAATGGTGATAATGTGCATATTGATATTGACAAAATATTGATCAAGTAGAGAATGAAATTTGAATAATTCACCCAACAATGATGATGATGCTTTATATGAAACTGATAATTGTGTGATGTTGGCCAAGATTATTCATGTGAAACTACTCCTTTGCTTGATATTTTTGATCCAAGAAATTGGGATGGACTTGATTCGAAAATGATTGATTTATTAGTAATTAAGGGTCCTAAGAGAGATAATTCTATTGTAAAAGGTCCTAAAGATAAGTTTTCTAGGCGATTTACTGCAAATTTGTATACTAGGGTCTTATCAAATGGAGAAAGATGTGATAGAGAATGACTAATTTACTCAAAAGAGCTTGATAGAGTTTTTTGTTTTTGTTGCAAAATCTTTTAAAATGGTATTGGTAGAGGTCAATTAACAAATGAGGGTTTTAGTAATTGAATATTGGTGAAAGATTTCAAGAACATGAGACATATATGGATCATATTAAAAATATGACGACTTGGTATGATTTGCGTCAAAGGTTAAAAAATAATCAAATCATTGACAAAGTCGCTCAAGGATTAATTAAGGAGGAGAAAGATCATTGGAAATTTTTTTTGTTAAGGATTGTTTCTTTTGTCAAGTTTCTTGGCACACGTAATTTAGCCTTTCGTGGTACTAATGAGAAATTGTATGAAAATGGCAACGTAAACTTTTTAGGCTTAGTTGAGATGGTGACCGAATTTGACCCTATTATCCAAGAACATGTTAGGCGTATCTTATTATTAATGACATTTGCTCGTTGCGGCTAATATCAGGAGTACAATCAAGTATTACAGAAAAGTATTTTGCTTACTTTATTTTTTTAATATTTCAGATTTCATCGAAGAAGCAAGCAAAGATATTAGTTCATTTTGAATGATGCTATGACCAAGATAATGAAAGTAAATTTCTTCATTTTTAATACGCCTAACATGTTCTTGGATAATAGGGTCAAATTCGGTCACCATCTCAACTAAGCCTAAAAAGTTTACGTTGCCATTTTCATACAATTTCTCATTAGTACTACGAAAGGCTAAATTACGTGCCAAGAAACTTGACAAAAAAAAAACAATCCTTAACAAAAAAAATTTCCAATAATCTTTCTCCTTCTTAATTAATCCTTGAGCGACTTTGTCAATGGTTTGATTTTTTTTAAACCTTTGACGCAAATCATACCAAGTCGTCATATTTTTAATATGATCCATACATGTCTCATGTTCTCGAAGTCTTTCACCAATATTAGCCCAATTACTAAAACCCTCATTTGTTAATTGACCTCTACCAATACCATTTTAAAAGATTTTGCAACAAAAACAAAAAGCTCTATCAAGCTCTTTTGAGTAAACTAGTTATTCTCTATCAGACCCTAGTATACAAATTTGCAGTAAATCGCCTAGAAAACTTATCTTTATGACCTTTTACAATAGAATTATCTTTCTTAGGACCTTTGATTACTAATAAATCAATCATTTTCGAATCAAGTCCATCCCAATTACTTAGATAAAAAATATCAAGCAAAGGAGTAATTTCACATGAATAATCTTGGCCAACATCACAATTGTCAGTTTCATATAAAGCATCATCATCATTGTTGGGTGAATTATTCAAATTTTCATTCTCTACTTGATCAATATTATCAATATCAATATGCACATTATCACCATTTTCAACATTAAAATCATGATTATCCACATTGTTATCATTCTCAATATCAACACCAACATTTGAATTTTCAGAAGAAACTTGTAGTGTTTTAATTACAAACTTATCTAATGTTCCTCTTTGTAGTCGTTGTAACTCTTCAATTTTATTTTATTTTTGTTGCATACGTTTTTCATAGCCAGATTCATGTTTTCTAATGCAGGGAGCTATAATATGCTAATATGCAATTCACTGATTCAGCAATTGAAACCAAACAACAATGAACAATTACGGCAGAGCAAACACAAAGGATTGAAAGTTTAAAACAACCTTACGGCAGAGCAAACACAAAAAAAAAAAAAAAATGGCAATTCACAATTTACAAAGAGCAAACACATTACACATATGCAGAATGTAAAATTAAAAATTTAAAGTGAAAAAGGAATAAAGGATTGAAACAACCTTGGTCTGCTAGGGTCTACGGAAATACGGAATTGCAGATGCCAAAAATCCAGAATGCTAGAAATACGGAATTGCAGATGCCAAAAATCCAGAATGCTAGAACGACAGAACACAGATTGCAGAATTGCAGAATGGCAGAATCTAGATCGTGCTACAGGCCTGCAACAGTGCAGCGCTTCTGCTGTTTTGCAGATTGCAAAATGCCAGAACCCAAAAGTAACGTGGAGGCGTGGACTAGCCGTCCAGCCTGCGCAACCAATTTTCTTCGTGACTTCGTGGATGACTCAGACTAGAACTCTTCCTGGACGAACTGACGAAGAAAAAGAAGACTAATTGAACTCCTCTCAGTCCACAGTCCTCTGCCAATTGCCAAAGAAGACAAAGAATCGAACATACGAACAATAGAACATCGGGAAATAGCATTGCACATTAATTACCGATTTTAAATTTTAATTAACATTGGAGTCTTGGAGAAACTGATTAGTTTTAGACTTAGTCTTTTAGGATTAATTGCCAATTTTTTAAAAAAATTTCTTAACTAGCTAGGTATATTGGGCTCTCTAAAATTTGGGACCCTGTGCTATAGCCCAGCTTGCACAGCTCAAAATCCGGCCCTGGCATTATGTTAGAATTTATTTATAATAAACAAAGTTGTTTGAATTTTTCTTCTTTATATAGAAAAATAATATATAAATAAAAATCATATATTTTACGGTATTAGTTTTAAATATTGCACTTATACTTTTGGTAGGGCCTCATTCATTTATCAGAACAGAGCAAAAAAAAAAATCGAAAAACCGGCCCTGCTCCAACCCCCGAAGTCTCATAAACAGTGGCCTAATCAAGTGTGTTATCATCATTAAAAACAAACTCATTCCCCACATCCTCATAAATTGAATCAATTTCATCGCTAGGATGGTGCCTTCCCAGTTCCTAGGAGATTTTAGTTATACTTGACATAAACCAAATCATACAAACTTCTTACGATTAAGCCTATTTCTCTTTTTTGAATGAATCTACAACATAAATATAATTATAAAAAGAAATGTTAAGTAGTTTGTTCCTATGTTATAAATTTATAATAGGCTTGACCATCCAAATAAGATAAGAAAGATGAGTTATGATTATTATTTGCTCAAATACACCCCAATTGCATTCACACCATAATGAACTACACGTCAAGGACTCAAGGTCAAGAACTTGATAGCAAGTTGCTATAAATTTGGAGTTGAGTAGCCATACATCTTCCACCACTGAGTTTCAAAACCAAAGACTATAACCATAGAATTTTTAGAAACTTAAACTAGTAAATGCAAGCTTAGTAAAGAAGTGCAAAAAATGCTAGTTGAGTTGCCAAATTATAAGAGTCGTAATGGTCTATTTGGTACTAAATTTGCAAAATTACAAAGGAAGACCCTTTCTCTTGGTGAGAAACTTGAAACTAAGAATGCAACATTTAATAATTTAAGTTTCAAAAAGTTCTAATGTTTAAATTCTAAGGTTAAACTCTTTGGTTTTGTAGCTCAATAGTAGAAGATGTATGGTCACTCAACTCCAAATTTGGAGTAGCTTTCAAGATCTTGAGTTTGATATGTAGTTTATCCAAATGCAAATGCAATTAGAGTGCATTTGAGCAAATAATAATCATACTCATCTTATTGTTTTTTATTTTATTTGGATCGTCAAGTCTATTATAGGTTTATAACATATCAACATACTATAAAAGGAACAAACTACTTAACACTGCTTTATAATTACATTTATGTTGCAAATTCATTCGAAAAAGAGAAATAGTCTTGACCATAAGAACTTGAATGATTTGGTTTATGTCAAATATAACCAAAAGCTCCTACAAAGGCATAATTGATGAGCGTAATGGTAGAGATGGATGATAACAAAGATGCGGGAATGACTTTGTTTTTAATGATGATGACACATTTGAATGGGCCACTATTTTATGAGGCTTCGGGGGTTGGAGAGCCTTGAACATATAGTAGGCTTACAAGGGGTAAAAGAAAGAACCATCAAGTGGTGTTAGAGCCGCCAAAACTTATAAGAAAGGCAAAATTGCAACTTCAATCTCAAGAGGGAAAGAGCCCGTGATAGAAGATGAAGGAATTGGAATTTGAGAACTATGAGGAACTCGAAGAAGAAGAGCCATTGTTTAATTTTGAGGTTGAGGAATTCAGAGGATGAGAGAAAGAGGGATATGCTTCACTTGATGACAAAGAAAAAGATGACTATGTTAGGGTTGATGAAGAGGATTAGGCATTTAATAACTAATTATCTATTTAATCTATGGTTCTTCACTTAAGTTTTCTACTTTTGTTTTGTTTTTTTTTTTTTTTAAAGCAATTTGCCGTTTTATATATATATATATATATATATATATATATATATATATATATATATATATATATATATATATATATATATATAAAGAGAGAGAGAGTAATAATCAAATGAGACCACTTCTTCTCTGAGTCCTATGAGACCCTTCGTAAATGCACACAGACTAGATTGTGTGCAATTCGCCCAGCATAAATGCACACAATCTACCTTGTGTGCATTCGTGTAGTAGCTTGTGCCCATTTACGAAGGGTCTCACGAGACTCACGGGAACAGGTGGATGCACTTGAACATTAGCCTATATATATATATATATATATATATATATATATATATATATTGTCTGTCATGCTTCTGCCATAGGCCACAACGCCATCCGCAATTGATAATACTGGTTACAGTATACAAATAGCAAAACATTTTCCATGTATATGAGAGAGACCATGAGAGGGAGTGTTGGGGATGGAAGGTAGAAAACAGTCCACCGTTAATGCAATGCAATACATATATTACCTTTGGTGCCACTAGCCTCAGAATAAGATCGAATATTGTTCATCCTAGTTATCAGGTCTACTGCAGCACCCTGCTTCACATCCTTATGTTCAAGAGGCTCTACTTCAATGTAGGCTTCCTTTTCAATTTCCTTCACCTGGGAAGCCAAAAAAAATTTGTAATTTCAAATGTCTCTTACAATACCAATATTTGTTTGTTATTTTTTTAGAATACTTATACTCACTCTTTTAATTAGATTCACAGGCATCATTGCACGGCGAATCTCTTCAGATTCCCTTATATATCGTTCAACTGTGCTTCAAATGGCATATAAATGTTAGCTAGCTTGCAAATATATCATCATTGATTCCTCACTAGAGGGAAGTAATCTAAAAAATTCATCTAAAATGGTTACAAGAAGCTTCAGGTTTGAATAGTGACTATGAGCTATTTCATAAGAAAAAGACATACACTGTCTCATTGAAGTATAAAGGCCTCTAAGCTGAATAAAAATCAATTGCAGAACTTATATCAAGAAGTTCATAAATTCTACACATACACAGAACATCTTTCCGACTAAGAACTACCCAAAAAAAAAGAAAGTTTCAGAGATCTGAACATTATAGCACATACATCAAATGGTTATCTTCTGCAAATGCAGCCTGTAATTGAGTCTGATGCTAAGGACAAAATCGAGCAGATTTTGCCCTTAACAATACCAAATCTATTCTATCAAATCTCATTCCTAAGGCACCATTTTCCAAGCTAATATCAATCCTAAAACACCAATTCCAATAAATTGCTAAATTTCATAGTAACAATTGATCACTGTGACTGATATTAACACTTTCTTTTTCAAATTACTGTTAATCATCCTTTCAACCTAAATGCGGTCATTTTGAATCGATGCCCTTAACTCAAACCTAGAATAGATCTTCCAAGTTATTTCAAGAACCAACTAAATAAGCACATATACATCATAAATTAACTAAAAATCAAATAAAACCCAGAATAAATCCTGCTGTTTATCTCAAGAATCGCGAAGTAAAAATCAAAGATAAAAAGGGGAATTTTTAAAATAATTTTAAATACGATTCTTGGAATAGTAAACGGGAACCTGAATTGGATTTGGTGGAAGGGGACGCAGAAAAGAAGAAGCTCTGAAGCAAGAAAAGTGCGGCGATGAAGTTGAACAAAGAGACCAAGATGGTGGCATTCCTGTACGACCACCTTAACTTCCACCATTGCTGCTGCTGTACTTTTTCCATTTTTTTTTTTTTTTCTGCTTAGGAATCAACCAACAAAGGCAAAGATTCAACCCTGCATATATACGCAATAGATAAAACTTTGAATTAGAATCAGTTGGCAATTTATATCCTGCACCAGGGCGCGCATTGCATTGTGCGCCATGATACAAAAGGACGTCGGTTCAGAGTTATTTTTTCTTTTTTTTGAAATTTCGATACCCTGTGTTGGCGGTTAGTTTTTTTTTAAAAAAAAAATTCATGTTAAAAAATTTACATAATTTAATACTAGAATATATATAATTGTATACATGAATATACATAATTGTGTAACAAAATACACATATTTTTTTTTTAAACATAATACATAATATACATAAACTTTTAACATAATAAACATCAACTCTTAATATAATACACATAAATTTCATGTTTCGGATGTACATAATTGTATAAAAAATGTACATAATTGTATAAACAAATACACATAATTGTATAAATAAATACACATAATCACATCAATTCCCGACATAATTTACCAAAACGACGTTGTTTTGAGAAGTACAGGACGCACATTGTTGTGCGTGCCGTGGTGCAGGGTATAACGATCCGAATCAGTTATAGTGGGTTTGGTTTGGAATCATATATACCTGATAAATGTAATGTGTTTAAGTAAACAAAATTTGATAGTGAGTAGGAATTGAAATAAAAACAAATAAATAAATTAATTAAATTAAATTAAATAAAAATAAGTAAATATATAAATACATATAAGCATACATTTTATGTGTATATATATATATTAAAATTCGATATTGAGTGCATAAACAATAACATTTTTATTTATTTTATTGTTTTCTTCTGTTTTTCTTCCTTATTTTTGATTTCATTGTTTAAAAGTTGAGTAAAAAAGGAAATGAGTTGTATAATTACTAAAGAATTTGAATACAATATTAGGATATAAAACTAGGTAAATAAACATAGTAATGCACGTGTTTCAAGTACCATCATAGAACACAAAAATCACCAACCAAACATCACTTATATTCGATCTCTTTTTGTTAAAACTCGAGTTAATTTTTGCACAATGCTATATGAAAACACACAAATTATTCTGTGAAAACGTGTTCACCATGCGCATGGTGAACACAGGGGTAGATTCATAATTTCTATACTGTAGATTCATAATTTTATTTTTCATTTGTTGTTAACGATGTTTCTCTCTTCGCAATCGCATTATTTCGTCTTCGTAGTATAGAAATTATGAATCTACAGTATAGATATTATGAATCTACAGTATAAAAATTATGAATCTACAGCTTAAAAATTGTGGATCTATCCCGTGTTTACCATACCCACAGTTCCACAGCGTAACTATTGATGGAAACAAAGGTTGGTCGGTTGATTTACTTGGTTCATTAATACGAAATGAATATGCAACTTTTACAACTTACTTGAGGTGCTAATAAAAATATCTTTTTATTTTTGAACTATTTGTTCGATCCCACAAAAAAAAAAAAAAAAAAAGAATCACTTCTACATGTAGTCCATCCACAAGTAATACATTCTCCAAATCAAGTAAGCCTAAAACATTTGAAAACGTTTGGTTGGAATGAAGGAATTAAGAGGGAGAAAAATTGTAATTCGACGATAAAAGAATAAGGAGTGAATAAAGTAATCAAGGGTAAATTTTTTTTTTTTTTTCCTTTATCCCTTTCCTTTTCCCATTGAATTGTAAATAGGGAAGGGTATGAATTGTAATTCAACAAAATGAGAGAGTTGCAATTCCTCCAATCAAACACTATAATTCGGATAGTCAAAGAATTATGTTATAATTTAAAATTCATCTATTTGTAGAATTTTGAAAACTTCTTCGTTGATAGGGCGACTGTTTCATTGTCCAGTTTTTCAGGGTATAAATCAATAGTATCTTTATCAGCATCAAATGCCACTTATTTCCCTTTTCTTGAACTAGTTCTTCATGTAAGACTTCTATTTCATAAGTCTCTAAGCTTCTTATAAGTTGTTGGGCCTCTGTTTTGGTGTCCCAACTATCAAAATCTTAGCTTGAATTGCTACAACCTTCATGCGAAATCTTTTGAGAAGAGATCTTAGGATTTTCTTGACTAGTTTAATCTATAGAAAGGGCTCACCTAAAACCGGCAAATTATATCGTGCACCGCGGTGCATAATGGATTATGTACCGAGCTTCTAAACGATGTCGTTTTGTTTAATAAAAATAAACGGCACTCGTTTCGCGTCGTATGCGCCGTTTCGTAAAAACTAACTCTTTTATTCAGTTTTATTTTGTATACACTGCAGTTTCAGTTCAACACAACTACAATTTCATTTCGATATAACTACAATTTCATTCGATATTTATACATTCAAATATGTGAAAATGTTATTTAATTTTATTTTATATATATACACTATAGTTTCATTAAAACACAACTTACATGATCATTTCGATATAACTACAACTTCATTGCACAATATACACTCAAATATGTGAAATGTTATTCAGTTTCATTTTGTATACACTGCAGTTTCATTTCAACACAACTATAGTATCATTTTGATATAACTACAGTTTCGCTAGGTAATATACATTCAAATATGTGAAATTGTTATTCAGATTCATTTTGTATACACTGCAGTTTCATTTCAACACAACTAGAGTTTCATTTCATTTCAATTGCAATTTCACTTGATAATATAAAAATAATACGTGATGCAGTGTCAGTTTAGATATACTGTAGTTTCAGTTGGTAATTAATACACCAAACATGCGTGCTCCATTAACTGTAACGGCACGCCGTTTCTTTACTTAAAGAAATGACGCCTTTTTTGGACCGCGGTCCCCAGTATATTGCTGCCTAAAACCAAAGCGCATTAACAAGTTGTTGAACTCTTGTATGAAAGTCTCCAATCACCTCATCTTCTTTCATACGAAGCTGTTCAAATTCTGTGTTTAACAGTTGCAACTTCGACTACTTGACATCATGAGTCCCTTCATACCTTGAACAATTCTTGAACAATTAGTAATTCATTTGTGCCTTGTGTTTTTAGTTACATGCCACGCTTAGCAAACCAACCCGCTCATGCTCTCACAAAGGCGGTTGGCTCTTGTTCTAGTCCTATGTATTTAGGGATGACAATGGGTCGATGGTGGATCGGGGAGGGCTACATCCATCAACCGACTCACTTTATATTTTCTTCACCCACCTCCACCTCCAACCCGCATCGGGTGGACTTTTTCAAAACTCACTCCCACCCCACCGGGTGCGGGTGTCCACTACGGGTATCCACTAGTTATCATCATATTTTTTTTTCAAAAAAAAAAAATTAAATTACTTACACATAACATAATAAAATTCATTAGTTATATTAAAACATAAAATTATAGAAATATTTAAGTATAATAACTAAATTATTAATTTTTAAAAATAAACTTAGTAGTTTAGACTTTAGATATAAAAATATTAAAAGGTTAGACGGAGTTATAAAAATTTTGATAAATAACAACATACTAGTACTTATATATATATATATATATATATATATATATATATAGAGAGAGAGAGAGAGAGAGAGGATTATATTCAAATACAAACAGGTCTTAAAATACAAACTTGAGGATAAATCTAGGACGTTTATTTTTTCATTCTACGGTATTGATTTGTTGTAATTGTTTGGCTTTAATATATGATATTAATGCGTGCTTGTGTTGTTTTTATTTTGGTGAGGGGGTAATTGTGATTTTTTACTTTTATTCTCTCACTCTTTCTTAATCTCTCGCTGGTGGCCTTCCTATTGCTATGCACGCTCATTCTCGTCTCTTCAACCGCATAGCTTTGGAGACGTAGTAGCCACTCTCCTTCCGCGCAGATGGTGGTCGCTAGGAGACGCCGGACGGGGCAAAAGGCGGGGACCACCGGGTCCAGTTGTTGGCAGAGGTATGTTTTCTCCCGTTTTGTCTTTTTTTTTTTTTTTTTTTTTTTTGGGTTCACATTCACGTTCTTTTTCTCCTGGGTGTGTGCATTGTGTCGATTCGTTGATTGCCGGTTGTTGGGCTCAGTGTTGGGGGGCGAGGTGGTAGGGTTTTGTCTCATTTTTTAGGGTGACGGTTAGATTATGGTTCTTGGGCTGATGGGTTTGTTCCAATTTTGGGGTTTTGTGCATATTAGGATTTATATTTTTCGTTTGGGGGTTGGAGTTGAGGGTTTTTGTCTCAATTTTGTGTCTCGGGTAGAATAGGGTATGTAGGGATGTCGGGTTTGTTGGTAGGTGTTCTGGATTCAAGCAAAGGATTGCAATCATTGCACCTTGTGCATTTAGATCTCTCCTTTGAAATAAATGCAGGCAAAGTCTTTGCCACTTTCTGAGGTTTATTTAAGAATTCGTAAGTTAAAACAAGTTTTCTAAGCTTCAATTCAACCATGCTAAGTTGTCACTGACATACCTAGGAAGTCTAACAAAACAATGCATACTATTTAGGAGAAGTTTAGACAGAAGTCACAGAACATATAAAATGAAAGAATAAAAATTGTTATTCCGCTTGCCCAGTATACAATTGTGACTAAGACCCTGTCTAAGTCTTACTGTTTTAGAGAACAATCAATACTCAGCAAATACTCACAAATACCCATACCAATATTAAAAGCTAAGAACCATCCTTTGGTTGGAGTGGATCTGTTTGTTATTTATTGTTCTTTGGATGTTCTTATGGAAATGGATTACCATTTTAATCCCTTTTGAGAGTTCTCGTTAAGAGTAGCATTTGAGGGGGGACTCTGTTTGTAGTTTATTGATTTGTCAAGAAGATGGCTGTGTTCTTTTAATGTGGGAGAGAGTTAGGAAGCCAGTTATTTTATGTTGTTTGAATAAATATTAGTCATTTTAATTTTTGGTTTGCTCTTTTTATTTCCTGTGTAGTATTCATTCAAAATAACACATTAATTAAACATCTTTAATAGGTAAAACCTTTGTGTTGGTATCACTGCATTGTGATCTTGAACATGTAGAAAATGATTTTGAAGAATTTCGGCTTGTAGAAGTTACTTAGGTGCATTTGATGCTCGTTTGTTGTCAACTAAAGAAATTCTTTCGTA